AAGTTCTGTCAAACAATTATACTGTATTCTCAATCCATAACAAACAAATACTTTCCATAGATCATCCAAATCAGGAGAATGAAAAGGAACTGTTATTTTTGAGGAATAATACATAAGGACTCGGTAAAGATAAGATGCAGAAATGTCTTAGAGCTGTTAGACACTGGGGGGACACTGGGAGGGCAGAGGGGAAAGCATGAATGTATTAATAGCCTTTGTTCTGACTGAGACAGAGCATACATGTAATGTTCACCAGTTCGTAACTGTCTAGATTGGCTGTAGGGTTTTTGTAGTAGTTGAGAGACTGTGCCTCCTCATGGATATTGCTCCTCTAACTTTAAACTCGAGGGCCTTTCTGAATAAATCCATTTCACTCGCTGTGCTCGTCTGATGCTCAGTGCTCCATATACACTTACGCTGGCCTCGTGTCCTCTCAGCTCAGGATCTCACCGGGCTTCTAGATGCTACAGAACTTCTTGCACACACAGTATTACCCCACCGTGTCTCAACTGCCTGGGGAGTTTTTAGCAAGGTATAAAGCAACAGCATCTTTGTCTTTTCATTCCACTACCTTTCTGTAATTTTGAATTTGTTCTTTCTCACTGCAGGGGCAAACCCTGTTTTTGTTTTGGGCTCGGCCCATCTGCCCTCCTGCCCACAAAAAAACCCCAACAAAACAACTCACATGACATTTATTCAAAGACATGCATGAGCTCTTTTATTTAACATCCTTATCTAGAAACAAGGTGATTTTACTTTGTGTTCTTCTTTTCTCCCACAGGGATAATTTGTATCCTATTCTTTACTGAATATGGAGAGATCTGTTGTAAATGTCTTAAAAGGATGCCCTTTGTTCAAGTTTGTGTATTTCTCAGATCCTGACTGGGTTTTCACGGACCTTAGCTAAAAAAACCCAGACTTTTATTCACTTTGTATGCTAACATTCCCACCTCACTGCTGGAGACAGACACCAGCGCCTGTGCATAGACACTCCACTTTCACCAGAAGAACCCACAGTGACAAATTAACTTAAATCTGCCTTTCAGACAAGCTGAAATCCTGAATCCTCTTCTTCCAGGTTGGACCTCCAAACCAGAAGAGAAAAAGTCTCAGAAAAATACTGTTAAGTCACTGGACCTGAACTTTTAATTCGAAAGCTCACGGGTTCTCTTATCTCCATCTCCCTGTGTTCTTAGTCAAAGGAAACAAATCCGCAAAAGCTCGAATTCCAGTTGACTACTGTTTCTATTAATGCAATTGACAGCTTTTTTTTCTTTTTAAATTAATTACAGACATCAGTTCCAAAACTTCAGGGGGTGTTCCTGGCTCTGCCAAGCTGGAGCACTATTGATTTTTCAGAGTAAAATTTGAAAGGAGAGACAGATGAAAAATACCTAATTGGCAGAATAAAATGCTGCTGTCCTGCAGGAGCTACAGTCAGCTCCAAACTATTTCTCATAGGGTCTCCTTGTCAATGAGTGCAGGAATAAAAAAGATTTGACAATGAAGCGATGCCTATCATCTCCATTACAGACACATCTCTGCCAACTCTGGGACCCCAGTAACCTTTTCCTACTCCCTCCTGTTCAGTTGCTTCAGATGAAGAATCTCTCAGGCACTCCCCTTCCCACTGTTTGCACAGCTAGAACAGCTCAACCCTTTGCTATGATGGTCGAAGTGTAAACTCAGAGTGCACAACCCTCCAACTGGTAAATAGTGTTACGTGTTGGTACAAGTCATCCACCAAAGTGGTGAATGTGTTTAACTAGGAAAGAAAATGAGGTCTGTACAATTGTGCTCTCCCTCTCATACATGCATCTAATTCTACCAGTGACAGGGGACTTGGCTATTTCATCACTTCTTTTCCTGCAGTTCAGATTACAGTGCCTAACAAAGCATGGATAGGAAAAAACACAATCCATGGTTTTCTCGATATCATTTAGGTCACATGAACAGAACATAATGCTTCCTCATTGCAGAAAACCACAATTCTCTCAATGAATAAAAATCCACACTCAGGATTGGCTTTCAGAAGGGAAGAACAAGCCATCTAAAGTCTGCAACAAATCCTCATATTATTTGGAAATGGGAGCAAGGTAAGTTTTTCCTTTGTTTCTAACTGTCTTAGCACAGTAATGGCATAAAAAAAAAAAAAGACAGAAAAGAATTCTATGGCAAAAGACCAGTGAACACACAAGTATGTTTTATATAGTTGAGGATTAATTTAAAATCATATAAGTGATGATCAAAGCAAAAATACCAATTACTTAAGAATTCTATTTATGGAACAGTCCTAAGTCTAGTAGTCATTTGGATGACCCTGATAGCCCGTAGCCTTTTAAATATGGCTTTACTAACACAGACAGGCACTGCGTATGTAATATGCATCATAATGGATTAGGTACACTGTGTAGATTTGCTGAAGTCCTTAGAGTTCAAGCAAGATAGGAACAGCTGAGATCGGACCTAACCGTATTACCAGCTGCACAAACCACTTGTGGCCATTTCACATGTGAGGTCCACTAAACCCTTGGTAGCCATTGCTTTTCTTCCTCCCCCTTTGGAAAGAAACAGAACTGCAATTCTCTGGGTGCTAACACTGTGTACATTAGAAACAGCAGAAACAGAGATGATTCGGCAGCTGAAGCTGCAACAAAGATGAATTAATGGAAAATATTCATTGACAGGCTAGAAGAAAAAAAAAATCATTTACAGTTACTACGTAAAACATGCTGTTCATCTAGAGATTAGACAGATTCCCACTTTGTAGTGACCCCTGTAACATGTGATGAGCATCACCAGTAGGCATTGTTAAAAGGCACTATCTGTAAGACAGGCTAGATATTCTGAAACAAAGAACATTCTGTGCCTTGCAGTCACTAGTTCCAGGCAGAATGCACCATACTAGGAAGCTCAGAAACACAAATAAGCCCCTGAACGTATTTTACCTCTATTAAAAGCCCAGTTATTTCAAATTAAGTGGCTTTTCAGAATTAAAGTCATTATAAATCCCATATGGAAGACCATTTTTATGAGAAGATGTGAAGGGCAAGATCTTATTTTGGCAGCAGCAGTGAAGACAATGGGCACAGCCAAACCTCAGAAAAACTGCCTCAGCTAAGACTGCCCGGCGCTTCCTATTCTAATACCATCACTTCAGTTCTTACAACTTTACCAAGCTGTAATTGTTCAGACTAAAATTTTCCACGCTGGACTCTAGCCAATTTTGAGAGACATTTTTCAGAGGTTTTTTTAGCCTCTTCCAAGAAAGAGGCTAGGGAAAAATACACTGCTTTTTACAGATTAATGAATTCCACTGACCTTCCCAATAGCTTGAGAGCACTAACACTGCACAACGGGTGGGTCACTCAGTACATCTTCCTGCCAACTCAGGGAAAACCCTCCTGAACTTGGCCATGTATAAGTGTTTGTACATACTGCTAATTTATGTATGCAGAAGAGATTTCGATTTTAGCAACCCATTGATCACACTCTCCAAACACTAGGCAGGAGGCAGGGAAGCCATGCACGGGGGATGGAAATGGCTAGAGGCAGACTGAAAGATGCCCAGATGAAGAGCCAACATGAAAGCAGAATTGCTAAGCACCACCTGGGCACAGAAACTTTGATAAAGGGTAGTACAGAGTGAAGGTTGTCTGCTAAAGGGAAGGGGTGGAGAAGCAACAGCAGCAGTTTCATCTAGGAGAAAATGCAGGGCGGCAACAAGCCAAGCCTGCACATTCCCCTCAAGAACTGGAATGAAACCCCACATCGCTGTCTAGCAGACAAATGGTAATACTCAGTATCTGCAGAACAGTAAGTAATACATCCTATTTCCCTGTGGACCACAGAGAAGATAACTACATACTACCCTACTAAAATAATACTCTTAATTCAAACTACAGAGGTCTGTTGGATTGGAAATTATCCATACTGATAAAGAACAACATCTGTTTTTTTCCAACATATTTTTCAAAAGACCCCTAAGAATTTACAAGTAATGGAACAAAGTTAACGAAAAATCAAAGACTGCAAAACCAAGCACTGAAAGTCTTTGCAGTTTTAATTAGGCTTTTCTGTGCATGCATTTTATGAGGAGTTTTTGAAGACACAATCACATATTAAAACTTTCATGAAATCCCTGTTTTTTTTCCCAGCAAACAGAGCTCCCAAAGTAAATTAGTGTAGCGCATGAAACAAGATGCATTCTGCAGACCTTTGCTGCAGAATTCAGAAGCTATGAAATGGAGGCAGAGTTGAAGAACAAGAAAAATTATCCTACAGATGATGCAGCATTTGAAAACTGGTTTTATCCCCGCTACTGATAAAATCCTTTGGGGATGCCAGAAAATCTGGGTAACAGTCTTAAGACCAGAGGATACTACTAACCTGCAGAAACACTTTGCAGAAGAACTAGGGATATGTTTGCAATATGAAGGGGTATTAGAGATGGAAAGTGAGAAAAGGAATCAACTAGGTTAGTGCCTCTAAATAAGTGCCAAAACCGGGTGGTCACATTTGTCTTCTTTCTATGACTGAGCTCATCCAAGTAGAAAAAAACCATCACCTTTCCAGTCTGTTTTGAAATTAAATTATTTTGTAAAGAACTAAATGGGAAAATGTCATGCTCTGAATGTAACTGTCCACATTTTAAAATCAACTTGAAACAGTTTGTGGTCAGCCTCTTAACATCCTTGCCTATGGAGTTCAGCAGAGCAACTGACAAAGTTGGCATAAACTAGAGGCAGTTGGGGGAAAACTAGGAATCTAGTGGTTCAGATTACAGAGTCATCACTCTTTATCTTTTCTAAACAAAGATTTTCATCTCTTTAAGTTGAATCATGACCCACATGCATCTCAGTCTTCTGCCACCTCTCTACTGTCTTACTCCTCTGCAGTCAGAGGTGTAAAACCCTCACCCCCAACCCAGTCAGAGAAGAATAAGTCTGTAATATTTAGGAGACAAAACCACATAGGACTAATAGTCAGTTAGTACTTACCTCATTTGGTGGAACAGTAGTGAAAGGCTGGATGACAGCTGCCAGTGGAATGCGAGCCTGTTTGGCCATATCTGAAGACGACGGGAAGCAGTAGGTAGTACATCGAATGTAACGAGGGCTGGCGTGGCCTAGAACACCCAACATAGCATGGAGAATGAAAGGCTGTTAAAAGGAACCTGCCTGCCCCGAACACAAACCAGAAAAATCAAAACAACAACATAAAGCAAGAAGTATATGTTCTAAGTTAAATGCATGCCTTTTTCCCTCCCATGCAAGCTTCTGACCACCGGTCCTCCTTATAGGTCAGCACATTACTTGGTCTTTGATTTTAAAGCAAAGATTTAAACATATCAAAACAAAAACCACAATTCTTTGCAATAGAAAATAGTTTGAAACCTATCATATCTAAGATCTTAAAAGAAAATAGTAATTCCCAGTGGAACCATCAACACAGTGTATAAAGGAATGCTGCAGACAGATACCTACTATTAACAGTGCTCTAATGAGCTAGCTCTGATTCAGAAAATTGTTTATCTGTGTTATGCTCATTTATCTTGCAAAACATAGCGTGCTAGAATTACCACACCGCTTCTTGTAACACACTTAGCTCAGTTCCCTCAATGAGACACTCTGCTGTGCACTGCAGACAAGAGGACTGAAAGGCAACAGTTCAGAAATCGGCCTCCTTGTGCCCCTTTTTTAACCATCAACCTGCAGATCTGTTCAGTTTCCTGAAAGGAATTTCTTTGTTCATCAGAACTGCATTATTTCATTCTCAGATAACGCCAACAAGTCTTGTTTGTACATTTTGTACAGTTTATCCAAGCACTGACGAATTCGTGCTGGACTAAATGATACCATCGGTTCAACCTGTGTTTAAATAGCAAGCCTGCTGTCAAGCGCAGCACATGGAATACTGTAATTCCAGGCTCTAGGCAGAGGCAAAGGCAGATACACTGGCCAAAACTAAAAAAAGTCAAGTAGACAGCTTGTGTGCTGCCCCTATTGCTTGAACAGGATTTTCCAAAATTTTAATCTTAAAGTATGAAAGTGCTAGTCTTGTGGCATCTTCTAGTATCCATCTTCTAAAATTTCAGAGGAATCCAAAAAGGATTTCCAACTTGAAATTTAAAACCTTGGAAGCTTTTAAGTTAAAAGAAAAGTTGTCTCAACCATTCATATTATTTTAAAGGTCAGCAAAGGCAGAGGAGGTGCTAACCCAAGGTCTAAGAATTCCAATCCCACTTCCCCTCCTTCACCCTCCCCCTTTTTTTTTTTCTTTAAAGGGACTTTCCCATTTCATGTCCAATTTAGAGTAAGGAGGATCATTTTCAGATGAGAAATTTAAGAATTTATTCTTTTTAATCATGAATCACCTAGAAAGACTCTCAAATCAGTAACAAGGACAGTTACCTTGGTCTTGGATTACGCAGTCTGTGGTGACAAGTGGAGGAACCTGTCCTCTTGTGTTTGTAGCGTAGATCTGCCCTCCCCTAGAAGTCTTATCGTTTTCAATTACTTGAATCTGAGGAGTAAGAAGCAAGAACAGTATGAGGAAGGTAAGCCATGCATTCCATTACATTCACCGTTATGCTAACATCTACACCAACTAACACTGTTGACACTGTCTTACACAGAGGTGCTACAAACCTACCACAGTCCAGGCTTCTGGGATACTTCACAACTAGAAAACTATGCACTCAGCTGAGCAGTACAACCCACTTACAACTGCAGGTGCCTGTTGGAACGCAGGGTGATGTTGGGGTGGATAGGACCTGCATACAGTGGACAAATGAGTTGTTTAGAGTAGTGTATCGAGTGCTAGGAGGACAGACCTTTTCAAGAGAGGCCAGCCAGCAAACTGAGAAGACTGATGGTGTGAATAAACCCTTGGTACTGAATCTGGCCTTCCCTTCTCAGATATCAAACTGATGTGCAAGGCTGCACCACTGTACTCAGATGCCATATACGTACCAGGTTATCTTTTGTATGACCATAGTTGTGCCAGCTGCGGCTCTTCATGTACAGGTAACTAATGAGATTGCAACAGTGAGAGGGCTTAGCCCTCATTCCTCCTGCCTAGGCTCCATGCACAGGTGGTTAAGAAAAAACCCAATAATCTACACAGTAGATCACCTGCCTAGCTGAGCTGTATTTCAGCGCTGCCACTTAAAAAGCACCAATTTAAACTCCTGAGAAACGCCTTGGTGGCCATTAGGTAGTATTTAAATACTGGAGCTCAGGGTTTTCATCTTCTAGACTACCATGTTGTGAGCTTCTTCCTAGAAAGAAAGTAAGGGAAAGCGATCACAGAAATTTCTATTAAAAGGAGGCAGCTCTGAACACATACAGATTTACTCTGGTTGAAGCCCAGTTTATAGCAATCCGCAATGTAATGCCATGAAACACTCATGAAGCTGGCTTTACTACTGAACAAAGCCCTTTCCCATACACGTCCTCTCCTGTCCCTTCTGCACAGTCCCTCACCCCTGTTTACGTCTGATACTTTTCAGGATATAACTGAAGTTATCTAAAGCTCTATTTTGTTCCACACCAGATCACTGAGATGACACCAATATTCCTCCTCTTTCCTCAGAGAACCTCTCTTTTCAGCAATCTGGTTTAGAGTGTAGCCAAACAGCTGTGAGAGGCAAGAGGAACAAGACAGGGAATTTCTGAAACTGGCTTTGCCACTGCTGCTGGTATTCCATGGAATTGTATCTTTACACTGCACGTGAATTTCTTATAATAGCTAGGGAAATTCAGAAGCCTCTGTTGGAAAGCAAACATAGAAGAAAACCAAAATTATTCACATAGAGTCTATTGATCATTGTCCAAGATGTATTTCCTAACACACTGGAACTAATCTGGGGCCTATAGCTTTTTTTTTTATTAATTTTTTTGTATTGCAATTTAAATATACAGTACATTCCTCAGAGAGCTTGTTGTAACTTCTGCTTGATTGCATTTCCCTGCCTTCTTGGCTTGTGTACTTACCGCTAACTCTTGCATTAGAAGGAAAAAGGTTTTGCTCTAAAAAGGCCCACTAGCTGAAGAAAGCAAACCACTTTCAGACTTGGCTCTGCAAAGGATCAATGTATCATATTTAAGTCAGTTAGCTACAGAATACCATGATACATTGATCCTGGAAATGATTGTTGAAAAAGCCCAGATGCTAGCTTTCATAGACGTTGTCAGAGCACATATCAACCTCCAACATACGTAAGAAAAATGTAAATCAACAATGGCTACAGATAAGAAGTAAGTTTCTCTGGCAACACTACCGTAATTATATAATGTAAATATAACAAGAGAAATACACATGGTCATACTTACTCCTTATTCTGAATTAGCTTTTTGCCCTTTACAGACATTGACCCAGATCATGTTTCTTTTAAACATGTCATTTTGATCCTCTCTTTGCTGCTTAAACAAACCTTTTAACCTATTCTAACATCGCTGTCATAGTCAAGGCTGTTTATTCTACACGGGTAATTGAAACAAGACATCAGTCCATGCTTTGTGCCAGACCTCCTTCTCCCCCCACCTTTTTTTTTAATTAGGCAAGACTATTTTATCCTTCTCATGTAAAAAAGCACCATACTGTAACACTAGGAATGACTGACCTATTAAGGGCATTTGTTAATTTTGCAGGCACTCACTTGAGGTTTTTTTTTTTTTTTTTTTTACACAGTCGTTTTCAGCTACATTTATCTTGAAAACTGCCTTGAACAGAGGCAACTGCAGTACCTACATTAACTTCTAAGTCATTACCAACAAGCATCTTTCCAAAATCTTTGATATTTTACATCAAAACCATCACTGGATAAAACAGTCTTTTCTAGAAGGACAAAAGATCATCCCAATTTAAGGAAGCAGGGCTGCTCCCCGCTAGACAGTGTCAGGCTTTCACACAAATGTTTTTCCCTCATCTTGATGGAACACAGCATTACTACCACAGCAGAGAAGCACAAGATTCCTTCACCCAGACTAACTTAGAGCATGGTGGTTAATACAGCTTTTTAAGTAGAAAGTTCTAGGTCAAAGCGGCAGGACACAGCCTGCTTCAAGAAGCCCGACTCTCTGAGGACCTTTTGACCTGTCCAGACAAATGCCAGAACCAGTGTGTGTGCATCACAGTCTGTTTTCCCCAGGAGTTCAGCACATTTTCTCCCTCTAATTCAGTCTGCTGTTCTCCATAAAGAAGTTAAATGCAGTCTGCATCTGACAAGCTACTCCTTGGAGTAACAACTAGGCCATTTAAGAAAGATGGACACAACCATAACCTTGTTTTCTCTTAACACCGTTCTAAGAAGTGACACTGTCCCACCAGTGCATGTTTGGGCGTGCTTCAACAGCTGAGCCTCTTCAACCTGTATGAAGCTTAAGCCCTAAGGATATTCCCAGCTACTGAAGTCTTTACAAGGCTGCAGCAACCAGAAGGATGCTCAGGCAAACAACTCCAGTTGCCTGGGACCTCCTGAAATCCAACGGTGAGGTGGCTTTTGAGCATCGGACTTCTCAGCATTTCCAGGATTGCAGTTTCAGAGTTCACGTACCTGTATTCTGCACAAAGCTTACTTTAGGTGCCTACCTATTACTCAGTTTAAGCCTTCAAACTTTCCAGAGTGAAAAGGAAAGGTGATTTTCCACAGCAAATGCAAGTTACCCTTCAGTAACTGACATATTAAGTCATACTAAATGCTCACTGACATACTAAGAATCCTGTGGAGAATTCTTAAAGTATTTGGAGTATATGTCCCATGTTGGATAAAGTTTTAAAGCCTCTTCAGTACTAAAACTAAGGTTATGCACTAGTTTATCCAAAACTGACAGCACAGAGTACAAAACTGCGTGTAAATAAGAAACTGCAAAAACCGGAACGTATCTTGTGAACCAAGCCTTGTAAGTGCAATTTTATATTACAAAGAAACCCTCACCTACTAAACTAAATACAGTATCAGCATTGTTGTTCCTTTAAAATCAGTGCCACATTACTTACTGGGCTTGGAATAGAGTCAGGATCAAGTTTCTTCTGCTGCGGGCCTGCGAGCTGTGCCGGGCCTCCAGGAAAAGCACCAGGATAAGACAGTTGAGATCCTGGCATCTGAGGACCATAGTTTGCTGCAGAGTTACAAATGGCAATCCATTTAAAGTGCTTAAATTGTGTTATCAATTTTTAACATCAACTTCTGCCATACAGTTCATTCTTACTCAGCTAAATGCAACTTCTCCTTCCCTTCTGGTTTCAGCAAGAAACGGATCACTCTGACTCACGCAGTCTGTGTTTTAAGGGTAAGCGTAAGACTAGGTGTGACAACTTTGGCTCCAAACGTCAAGTAGGATGGTCAGTAGAGATTACCACAGCTACCCAAACCAGGGCATTACATTAGTGAGGAGCTCTCCTCTAACACCAGTCAATGCAAACTGGTCTAGTTAGCTGGCTTTTTAGTTGTCAAAATAACTGGTTTACACCTACAAAAAGAGGATTAAATTTTCTTTTTTCCAAGTCAGTAGAACATCAACCACAACCAGTCACAGTTCCACCAGTGATTCTCCACACATATTTTCTTTTCATTTACATAACAAGCATCCTTCCTTACCTTGCTGGGGATGATATCCAGGCCCTGGAGGCTGTCCTGAAAGCTGCTGCAAGTTAGGATTTGGGGGAACAGGTCCAGGGATTCCATCTTGTCTGGCCATGGGAGGCAGCGATGATTGAGCACTAAGGCTATTAACATTATTTGCTGGTGGAGGAACCTGTGATCCAGGTGGTAAAGCGACTTGCTGCTGGGTTGGTGGTGGCAGCTGTGGACTCTGAAGAGATGCCGGATGCCCAGAAGACATGTGAGAGCTCAGAGTAGTGCCAGGACCTGAGCAAAAACAATTAATGTGAAACAATATTCTTGTTGCTTAATAATCAATTTGTCTTATGCGGCAGGTTTTTGCTAGTCTACTACTTCCCGTTTCACCGTGACAGGTTCAATGGAAGATAAATCCACTCACTTTATCTGGTTTACAACCATCTTCCACTTTTGATGCTCAAAGATGAAACATGAGGGAATTATTGTGTGCACACTGGTGAGGAATAGGTGATTGTTTACAAGCTCCAGTTTCCAATCAGAATTAAGAAGACCCCAGAAATGGGTATATGTGTGTGTGTTTTGAGACTTAACATCTGTAAATACTTATTACTTTACAAAACCTGTATTTTTTAGTTAAATTTCTCCCCAAAGACCTATGGCAAAACAGTTTTCAAGAAAGCTAAAAAATAGCCAAAATAAGGTTTGGAGCAAAAGGACAAATGTGTTAATGCACAAATATTGAAATGCATCTTCTGTCAGGCATGTTAATTGGAAAAAAAAAATTCTCATGCAAAACAAAGTCAGGTTCTCAGCTGGTACGAACACACATCACTCCAGTAGCCTTACAAGCTGTGACTTTCAGCACTCTGTCAAGTTACACCAACTCAGACTTACAGATAAGGAAAAACCAGAAGAACAGAATGCAACACAGAGGAGGCGTTTAAAGAATCCACGTCTTCAGTGGTCTGAAGGGGATCCCAACCTTCCACCATGCAACACAATAAGCAACAACATTATATCGTACATAATTATTGCTGAGGGCAATATAAGAAACACTGGATGCCAAAAAAAATTTTTTGCTCTAAATAATGAGTTGCTACATATGAAGAGCTCTAGAGGTAGTGGACCACACCTCATCCTGTATGAAAAGGTCCAAGTTAACTGTGCACTTGCAGTTCAGTACATCAAGGCTGAATTCGAGTCTAAATTAATTTTTCTAAGGCGAAGAAGGTTTTCATAAGTGATTGTACAAACAGAGGGTCAGACCCATGGTAGTTGTGCAGGTTTCATTCAAGTCAAATCAGCAACTCAAAGCCAGGGTAGGAACAGTGATATAGTATCAGTGCAGCCTGCACTGAAAAGTATACCTTTACACATTTCTTACAAAGGTATCAACCACCAACGTTATCCTCATTTTAGAAATTCATCCCCCTGAGCACAGTGGCCTCAGCACAACCAGATGCTAACTAAATTCCACTCATTTTAAAGAAAATGGTAAATTTCACCAGGAAATACTCCGGAAAAAAGATATGACAAACCAGAAAATTAGTGATGGGAAGTAATTTATATGGAAGAACCACATAATCACATCTTTACCTCATGGCTTAGGTTTGAGATGTTTTAACCTCAAAATAAATGCAAGTAAATTTAGATTAAAAACTAAACTAAGATTTAGACAAAACAGAAAGAAACTCTGAAAAGCTGAGAAAAATGAAACCCTGTCTGCACATTATTGCTCATGCCTTGGCTGTTACTGACAGGATCACCAAGTAATTTGAGAAATCACTGGTAACATAGCTGACTGAAGGTTCATTAAACATCAATTCAGAATTAACCCAAGAACATTAATTGAAGGAATAGGATGAGATTTTTTAAAAAATCTAAGAACTTGAACAAATTACAGTAGTCAAAGATTTAATTTTCTGTTTATACAGAGGTTCAATAAGTTTCTAATTATCATAGTCTTAATAGCTTTAACTGAGAAAAAAGTCAATCAGATAAAACTGATTACCATAGCTATTTATCTGCATGCTGTTGAGCTGGTTAGCAAGTTGTGCTGTAGGTGAAGTGGATGCAGTATTTGGGTAGGCTGGTTGTGACTGCTGACTGTAGGGAGGATAGGAAGGTCCTGGAGGTGGAGGGCCTTGAAACCTAAAGGGAAAAATTAGTGCAGTTACACAAAAAAATACAGAAAGCAATCATAATCCTAGGTGGTCTCATACCTTCTCAAGGGTGGTGCTGAAACAGTTAGGGCAGACAAACTCAAGAGAGTTCTGCTCAGAAAACAGATACTTGTATTAAAAGTTATGAAGCACAGAGAGAATGCACTCCTGTTTAAAAAAATACAGTAAATGCTTGTTTGCATACTTGTTAGAAATAGAGAAGAGTGCATATGCCATGGAAAAGAGAGTGCGATAATAACTATATGAAAGCTTGAAGATTAAGAAACAAAAGATTCTGAACATATCCCATCACTCCCATCCTCTTTCCATTCTTAAAAAGCAAGATTCCCTGCTGGGGATGGGTGAAGAGGAGGAGAAAAATCTGTGAAGAGAGGAAAATGAAGTGAGAAACTGTGAAGGAATTCCCTGCAGTACAGGAAAAAAGAAAATGCAAGTAGGGAAAAACTGCTTCATGGTTATCAGATATAAAGAAACATGACTGCTAGAAAAAGAACTGAAGAAAAGAAGGAGTTAGCACACATGTGGTTTATAAAGAGATTTTCTACCACTCTGGAAAAACAAGATCTCAGGCTATTTCCCAAAGAAGATCTACACTGATTTTCCTACAGCCACTTCTAAAACTGAGGAGAAGCCTAGCTGTATCAAGAGAAGTAAAGTTTACTTTCCTTGAAATTTTGATGTGGAAATTCCCTGGCCTAGAATAGGTCTCAGCAATTTGGGAATAAAACAAGATCAAGTAAAAAAGACTAGATGTGCAACTGTCAGGGCAATGACTGAAAGCTAGGAAAGAGAATCAGTATTTTGCTAGGTTGCTCATGTCAACTTGACTCTGTTCATCTTGGTTTTACATCTTCAGGACAACCACCACTTCTCCGTAGGCATTAGTACATTGTCTTTTACAGCTGATCACCAGCCTCTTTGGGTCGTCCTCTACACAGTGATAACACACAGGCAACAAACAGGCTCCCCTATTCTGATGCCTAATAAAACATATACATGGCTTTATTTGAACACAAATAACTATACAACAAAAAAGCACAGAAGCAGATTATAATCTCAACCAAGTAGAGCAAGAAAGTTGTTAAACTGTGTAAGGTTCACTAAAACTAAAATAGCTATAGGTACACAAACTAATGTTGCTATTCCTGGGAGGTAAGCACAATAATTAACGTTTGACAGAATTAAATAAATGAGCTAAGCCCACTTTACCCACTTATAACTACCTGCAATATAACCACTGTGTAATAAAGCTTGGCTATCCCCTTGCATCACCATTTTTTCAAGACTGTTTTTTACAGCTTCCACCTGTCCCTGTTTTCCCCCTCCCCGCTCCTGCCTCCTGCACTTCTGCCTATGAGTTCCGACGGCGGGACAACAGCACTTCAAATGAACTCTTCAGAGTCAGTCTCTGACCTAAGCAGGGAAGTAGCAGTCATCCGTCTGAGAGGGTATAACAGAACTGCATTATAGTGTCTTTAAAGTACCCTGCGGAGCCTTGGCTGTGACCCCACCACAATGAAGCAAAGGCATCCTAAAAAGACAGGGAAGGGGAAGGAACTACAGATAGAGACATCTGCACCAGCTTCTAGTCAAAACTCACTGGCACTATTACACTGTTAAAGTGTAAATAACAACTTCTTGGTACATCACTACAAAGGAGAATTAAGACATCAGAAAGTGAACAAAAAAATCAACTTCTATATCCAACAGCGCTTTTAACACCTTATTGCTGCTTTGAAGCAATGGGTCTAAGATCAAGAAGACAGAATAATTAAAAATAAAATAAACCATGTATGATAAAGAACTGACTTGCTGTGAAATGGAACTTAAGAAGATTACAGATCACACTGTAAGATCTGGCAGTTTAACATCACAGGGAACTGAACTAGAAGATCCAGTTCAGAACTGGAAGGAGTCAGAACTGCTGAAGGTAAAAGGGATGCTGCACTTAAATGTCAGTGAAGCAACCCAAGAGAGGTAACAGAGGTAAATAGCTCAGATCTCATGTATTAATTCTTGAAAGTCACCTGTGTGGCTGCTGCCCTGGTGTACTGGGCCCATTTTGGAAGCTGGTCTGGCTGAACTGATGTGTACCAGGTGGTGGAGGCCCAACAGGAGCTGAAGATCCAAAAGGCACTGTTGATTTTGACATACCTGCAAAAGAAGTAGCACTTTTATACAGAGCCCTGTAAGAAAGCACAAGACTGCCAAGCAGTACAAGTGTACAGCCCTGCTCTGGCAGTAAGAATACTGTCTCTAGGTGGCCCTGCCTGAGCAGGGTAGGGGGGACCAGGTGACCTCCACAGGCCCCCGCCAACCTCAGCTATTCTGCGATTCCATAGGGAAGGACAGATTTTTGGTCAACTATAGAAGCGAATATGAAAAAGAACAGTGAAAAGGAAGCTAACAGCAGTCAGAAACTTTGCAGCAAGAGAACCCAAGAGGGACAGTAAGAAAGAAGCAAGAATGAACAGACCCTGCAATACAGTTTGGGATACTGGTAATTCCCCGCCACCCAGTCCTCTTTATAGGTAGAAGCAAGAGGTCCCTTTGATTTTTGGAGACTGTGGTCAGAAACAAAACTGGGAACAACCTCTAAAAAGAACCAAAAAAATGGCCTCCATATGTAGAGCCTGTAAACCTATGCTAGAAATTGTTCTTATTTCAGATCTAGAACAGTGACAGTGAAGAGACTGTAATTTATGTAAAAAGCAGTGCTGAATAAACAGCTCTTCAACCTGTATTCCTGGAATTATTTTCCTTTAAATTACTCTAACATCAAAAATTTATTTGGTACCAAAACCAGTATTTTTCCCAAGAATTCTAATAAGGCAGTTAGCAGCAGCAGTTCTATCTTCTGACTACATTCAGCATGGGATTAAGGTAACACAACTCCTGCTGGTTTTAGTAAGTTTTAAAGGAACAAGTTAAAACTTTTTTCTGTTTTTATGATAACACAAAAATCAAGGACACCACAGAATATATTTAAAAAAATTTTTTTTTTTTTTTTAAAACTCGGATACTTAGTTCTGTCATTACCTCACCATCTCAAAAGCTAAATTTAATATAACTTATGATAATCTAAATGTTATTAAAATTTCAACAATTTTTTTTTAGATGCTTTATGGAATACTTCAAACTTCTTTAGTATTTTAACTAATTTTCTATCAGGCAAAATATGGAGATCGTGCCTCTTCTGGTCTCCCTATCTTGGCTATGCATGTTAGTAGACTTACAGTGGGAAAGGGAAACCTTACTCTTTGGATATTTTCTAGAGCCCCAAGTCTAGCATGCCCACTTTGACGCCAATGAAATTTGATCAGCATGACTTACATAGAGCAAAACAAACTTAAATTCTATGCTCTCCGTTTTTTAAAATATTTATATATATATATGATATGATATACTTTTTGAAAGATCTGAAGTCACATATCAGTAAGTTAAAATTAATGAAAAGCAAAGGAGAGACAGCCATGTTCATCTGTTGGATGTCATTAACATCATCTGTAGCATGATTATGCAGTAGAAATAAAGCAAATATCCCTTTTGCTTGCACCCAAGTCGCCGTTCCTCATAGAAAGCATTTGTCTCCTCAGTGAAAAGGAAAAGATGGACTCTACTTACCACTAGTTATCCAAATACAGCACTCAGTAAGTGAGGTTAAGTAGGAGAACACCAACTCAAGTTTGTGCTCAAGAAATCAGTAGGACAGGGCTGTGAAGAATACAACCCATTTCTGAGTCACTGCTTGCTATTAACACGTGTGAGTTGAGAAACACTTCTCTGTTCCCAGAAATTGTCCGTTTTTTATTTGTCTGTATTAGGTATTACACATAATACAGCATTAAGCACTGGGTCAGATTGCTCCCTGGACAGTGGAAATCAGACATGAAGGTCAGATACGCATCACACATCAACATCTGAGCACCAACAATAACAGACAACACTAGTGCAGGATCCTCTTGCAGTAGCAATGCAAAAATTAAACATTTTGTGCTGACATGAGAAGAAAAAAGAGATGCAAAATATCTTCATAGAAAAGCAGACTCTGAAAACATATTTTAAGCCAATTTCATACCTGGTTGAGGTGCTGAGTACGAGGAGTTGGGATCCCCATAATGCCCATAATGAAGTGGAGAATTAGGTGCTCCAAAACCTGAAGAAAAGCCTCCTATTCCTGGCTGGGATTGGGAATATGGAGGAGCTGCAACATAGCCTTGTTGACTCATGATGGCAATATTCTCATTCCAAGAATCAGGTCCTCCTTACGAATCTGCGAAAGAGAAAGTGACACCTGCTACTACTCTTCACTTTCGGTGTGTTTCAAAAGGCTGTGAACTGTGTCCCCAAAAAGACACATCCCATCAGCTTTCACATCTTGATTCTGTTGTTAAACAAAAAACAAAACACCCACACCACAACACTCACCAAACAAAACCCAGAATTTGATTAAAAGCAATCCAGAAAACTTTTTTCTAATCATGAGAGCATTCACAAGACAATTTCTTTCTTGAAAATCTGAAGACAGATTTTATGAAGCAGGATAAAAGAGACTTTCAGGAAACTTTCAAAAAAGAGTATCCTGATAATTGCAATCAGTTAAGATTAGAACTGAAAAGTTCTGAAGAATTCTGCATTACTAAACCAGACAACTGTGTCTCATAAGCCTAGTTTTTAGATACAGTGCCCTTACTACCAAGGGATTTGAAAAGTTGCACACTTTGCAGCCTTGATACCTAGCCTTTTCTTTTCCACACGGGACATGTTTTACTCTGACTTCATACTGAATTTAACAAAACCAGAATTCCACTAAGTTTCTTGATGCCCAAATTTAAAGTATTTTGGGAAATGCTGAGGATCCAATCCCTGAATAAGCACTTACTGCTTCTGCAGAGTCCCCATTACGTAGGTCACGCATCCCCAGAGAACTAAAGATACGTAACTTGGGAAAAACTTCTTCACCAAAACAGTTGTCAGGCATTGGAATAGGCTGCCCAGGGAGGTGGTGGAGTCACCCTCCCTGGAGATACTTAAGAGACGCGTGGACGAGGTGCTTAAGGACATGGTTCAGTGGTGGCTTTGGCAGTGTCAGGTTAATGGCTGGACTTGATGATCTTAAAGATCTTCTACAACCTAAAAGATTCTATGATTCTATTATTCTAAACTAGCATTTTAGAGGTTAAATGTTCATTTGAAATAGCATTCCCAACCACCTATACTTCAGATTCTTAGGCTTAAGCCATGGCGTGACCTTTGAGTATGCAAACTGGATGAAAGTAAATCAGGAATCATGCTCCAGAAGCACACACAAAGGCACCTCAAAATCACACACAGCTCCAAGAACACAACAAATTCATGCTGCACTGGCACATGTCAGTAGAGAAAAGCTATGCATATCAGAAAACCCATCTCCAGGCTTCTCATACTATACACTTAAAAAAACCCAACAGTTTTACTTATCTTCCCTGTCATACAAGAAATCACTTTGAGCTGGGTACAAAGCCTAGTCCTCCTCACACACTGCCTCTGCAACCCCCTAAACCACACTCCTCAACACATCCTAAGATTTCTCAGTCGCAGTATTAAACTGTTTCAGACAGGTAACCTTAGAGAGTTGTCTTCTATTTCTTAGTTCTCAAGGTAAACATGGGAGAAGAAAAAAAAAAAAAACAAAAACCCACAGAGAAGCTTCATGCTGCCAGCTGTACACTTTCTTCCCTCCCCGCCTCCATCAGAAAGACGTGGCAGTGTGAGCTTCAGCTGCTTCAGAAGACAGTAAGTCAGCACTAGATTACCTACAGACTGGCACAGACAAATCTATATTTTATATCTATAGAAAGGAAGAGATTTTCACTTTGAGACAACTGCAACAACCAACACCTTCAGCTGCAACAGCATCCAGGGGAAACGACTTCCTCCACAGCTTGCTTACTCATACGTGCACACAAAACTTGCCACGTCAAACTTCCCACTGACAGTACAAAAACGCAGAGGTTGTGCTCAAGACAGACAGGAACTCTAACCATAGGCAAAATAACATCATTTTATCGAGTACAGTTCCAGATTCTATTTAACACCGATCACATTTAACCCCTCATCAAGATATGCAGATATACACCAACACGATGAAAATAGTCTGGAGGCAACGACCAAAAAACATCAACAGAAACGGATCACCTAGGGTTTCAGCAACAGACACACTGATTCACTCTGCAAATTGCACAGCTCAGAGGACCCGCTACACCCGGACCTTTCCCTGCGACTGCTACAAGCATCCTTACATAGACGGACATGAGAACTTTTTTTCTCCCTGTTCCTCTACACACTAGTTCACCTTGCGCCCAGAGCCTGAAGAACCACAGACACTGCCCCACGATTTAATTCACCGCTCTTACAGAATAGCCTGTCACCTTCTTTTTTTTTCCAGAGGCCTGCTGTACCTATGCAACACTCTACCGCAATACCCCTGGGAAGGTGTAAAACTCCACCACGTGCATGCAGAAGATGGATAAGGGGAGGGAAAACAGCGGATCACGGTAACGGAAGGAGAACTATCACCTTATCATTTCTTCAGAGACACCGTGCCTGGTAACCCATAATCTCGGAAGAGGGGCTGTCCCTCCCTCCCCCCGGCATCCTGCAGCCCCAGTTTGGCAGGGCA